GCCGCCAGCCGGACGCCGAGCTGGAGGTGCAGCAGGTGCGCCGCCGGCTGAGCCTCGGTCGGCCCGGAAGATGGGTCCTAGGTTGCGGGAGAGGGCTTACTTGTTTCGGTTGTTGGAGACAGGGCCTCACTGCAGTAGGCAACCCAGGCTGGCCTGGAACTCGCAGTGACCCTCCTTCCTTAGCCTCCCGAGGGCTGGGAGAGGATTTGTGTTTCCGTCTGTCCGAAAGTACTGCTGGAGAGCACACGGATGTGCGTCCCAGAATCCTCATTTGTATTTCAGGGACCAATAGATCAGGATGGGCCGAGAAGTAATCGAGCGTCGGGTGTATTTATGAAAAGAGTGTGCCCTACGTATTGATAGGATGTTGTTCTTTTTAACCAGAAATGTGGGTTTTCAGAGCTTTATTCATGGCAAAGAGAAAGAAAAGTAAAGACAGAGTTTTGTCTTCATGATGGACCTCCTTATGCCAATGGAGACCCTCACGTGGGACATGCTTTAAATAAGGTAATTGGAATCCAGATCATCCGACTTGAGAGAAAATGTTGGCGTAAATACCTTGTTAAAAAGTGTGATAGGTAATTTACATTGGCACATACCTTTTTAGTAGAAGAGCCAGCTGTGCTTTATTTAAAAGAAGAAGTATCTTGTTTTGATCTTGCATCAGCTGTGATCTTGTTACTCTTAAGGAGGCTTGTAAGTCCCAGTAATGAGGTAGATCTCTACATAGTAGATCTCAAAATAAAAGATTTCCAAATCTGATTGTAGAAAAGCAAGTTTTAAAGCCATATTATAACTTAATTTTGTTAAGATTAAAGACAGTATTTTAGCAGCTTTTTTTTTTTTTTTTTTTTGAGACAGGGTCTCACTATATAGTTGAGACTGACCTGGAACTCACTATGTAGCCCAGGCTGGTCTCAAACTCACAGAGATCCTCCTGCCTCAGCCTCCCAAGTGCTGGGATTACAGGTGTGCGCCACCATGCCTGGCTTTTAGTAGCATTTTAATTGTTTGAGCACAGACCCTGTATTACTCTTGAAATCAGAAATGACAATGATAAATATAAATTTGAACATGACCTAAATAACCAGAGAGTGAAGCAGGAAAGTAATGCAGTGCACTGTACTTTCTGCACTTATTCCGTGGTGTTTCGTAGTCAAATATGAACAATAACAATGTTAGAATTAATTTTTTGCATGAGTAAAGGAAAATCCTAGTTCACTTGTATGTACTCTGGAACTTAAAAGATCAAAAATATTTCTTTAATCACAGATAGGATGGGCTGCTTTTTTCTATATTTCAGCTTTTCAAGCAAATTAGTAATTTTGAGCATAATATTTTTCACTTTAAAATCTCTTGTTCCTTTTTTTTTTGTACTGGGGCTCAAACTCTGCACCTTGTGCTTGCGAGGAAGGTGGTGGAACCACTGAGCTAAATCCCTGCCCCAATTCTTTGATTTTTTTGAGGTGGAGTTAGTAGCATTTTAAAAATTCAGAAGACCGGCGTGGTGGCGCATGCCTGTAATCCCAGCACTCAGGAGGCTGAGGAAGGAGGATCGCTGGGAGTTCGAGACCAGCCTGGGCTACGTAGTGAGTTCGAGGTCAATCTCGACTATGTAGTGAGACCCTGTCTCAAAAAAAAAAAAACAAAACAAAAAAACCCCAAAAATAAAAATTCAGATATCTGTTACTTCTGTGTTTAGCACTTGAATGGTATACTTAATAAGTTAATGTATAAAATTCTTTTAAGACACGGTGCTTTAAAATGGCATTACCTTAATAGAAGTCAAGGGCCGGGGGATTTGGCTCAGTAGTTCTGCCGCCTGCCTTGCAAGCACAAGGACCTGAGTTTGATTCCCGTACCAAAAAAAAGTCTATAAATTGTGGGGGACACGCTTCATATTTGAATGATTGTCATCTCGTTTTTGCAGATTTTGAAAGACATAGCCAATCGATTCCATATGATGCGAGGCTCCAAAATCCACTTTGTGCCTGGCTGGGATTGCCATGGGCTTCCCATTGAGATAAAAGTATTATCTGAACTTGGTGGAAAAGCTCAGAGTCTTTCAGCTATGGAAATTAGAGAGAAAGGTAAATAACCTCTATTTCTGTCTTAATATTTGCAGTCTCTTTCTTTGTTTTGTTCTTTTGAGACAGAGTCTTGCCATGGGTTCCAGGCTGGCCTAGAACCCGCTGTGGTACTGCCTAGGCCTCCAGAGGACAGGGATTACAGGCACGCACCCCATGGCCCATTGTCATCTGTTTCTGTAAACATTTAGGTTGCTTGGAAAAGCCAGGGCTGGTTTGCTTAAAATGAGAGCTGTTGATAACTACTTGGTATCTCAGAACCCTCGGGTTTTCTGTAGTGGATTTTGTAAAGAGATAGAAGGAAAGACAGTGAACCTATTCAGTTGAATTCGTCAACTTTAAAATGTTTGTACTCTGGGCCGGAGATTTAGCTCAGTGCACTGTGGGAAATGCCTGCAGTTAGAGCGCCATGTCTGGCCCAGGCTGAAGAACTAGAATGTGCTGGTTTTGGGAAGCTTTCGTCTCTTTTCTTTCTTAGCTCGGACGTTTGCTAAAGCAGCCATTGAGAAACAGAAGTCAGCATTTATTCGCTGGGGAATAATGGCAGATTGGAATAACTGCTACTACACTTTCGATGGGAAGTATGAGGCCAGACAGTTGAGAATATTTTACCAGATGTATGATAAGGTAACGCAGTGTTTTCCCGGTGTGTTGAAGTGGGCGTATGGTAGCATTTCAGCTTTTACATAGTGTCTTTGTTTCTTGCAGGGTTTGGTTTATCGGTCATACAAGCCTGTGTTTTGGTCTCCCTCATCCAGGTATGCGTGTTCTTTAGAAATTAAAGGGGAGAAACGTGTGAAGCTTCCACATGTTTATGGTTCATGGTTTTAAACCTCAGGACGGCCTTGGCAGAAGCGGAGCTTGAGTATAACCCTGAACACACCAGCCGTTCCGTGTACATGAAGTTCCCCCTCCGGGCGCCTTCCCCGAAGCTGGCCTCGCTGCTCGGTGAGCCGTGAGCAGTGTCCCCGAGCTCAGTGCAGCGTGGGCTCGCAGCGTGGACTCACAGGCTTGCACTTCTTCCCACAGACGGCGCCACGCCGGTGAGCGTGCTGGTGTGGACCACGCAGCCGTGGACAGTCCCAGCCAACCAGGCCGTGTGCTATGCGCCGCAGTCCAGGTGGGGTCTCTGCTGCACTTTGTGTTTTGTCTACAGAGAGGGTTTGTGCCATCCTTCATGTGGTGCTCAGTTGGTGCCATCCTCACTGTCAGCGTCGAGTGAATTATAATTCCTGTGACTTAGGAGTTAGTATGTTCATGAAGATTTTAAGCTTTAGGCAATTCCCTTTAGAGAATCCTTATGTCTAGCCTTTTTTGGAAAATGAAACAGGAGTGGAGTATTTTGGAAATAGTACTTTTTTGAGGGGGAGGGTACCAGAATTCTAACTCAGGGCCAGGAGCTTGCCAGGCAGGCACTGAGCTGCTGAACTACATTTCCGGCCCTGGAAATAGTCCTTTTCGATCTTTCTTAAAATTTTAATTTTTATTAGTACGCATTTGCAGAACATAATCACATCTATTGTGGGAGTTGGTGCATGTGCTTGATGCATCCGAATTCTTTTAACTTCTCTCCCTCTCCAGCCAACTTTTTTTTTTTTTTTTTTTTGGTGTTTTGAGACAGGGTCTCACTATGTAGTTGAGACTGACCTGGAACTCACTATGTAGCCCAGGATGGTGTCAAACTCACAGCGATTCTCCTGACTCAGCTTTCCAAGTGCTGGGATTACAAGTGTGCAACACCATGCCTGGCTTCTAGCCAACTTTTTGATTTTGATGTTAATGTTTCTAAAAGGGTATTTGAAACTAAAATGTTGGGCCGGGGATTTAGCTCAACGGTTCGGTGGCCTGCCTTGCAAGTGCAAGGACCAGAGTTCAGTCTCTGGTACCAAAAACAAAAAAGTAAAATGTTATTTGTGGCTCTTCTTTTTTCATGGTTGCTGATTTGCCCCATGTTCTCTGTTAGGTACGCTGTTGTGAAATGCTCCACCTCAGGAGACCGCTACATAGTGGCTGCAGATAAAGGCCCATCGCTTGCTTCTGCTTTGGACACAACGTTTGAGGTTATATCAACTTTTTCAGGTGAAGATGTGTAGATTTTTAAATCATCACAGTCATCAAGATATCAAGTTGAGGGAGATGGTTGTAGCCTGAGTTCAATCCCCGGTAACCACCCCCCCCAAGAAATTAAATTGATTTGAGTTCATTATTCTATTGAACAGTAATAATCATGGACTAAAATAGATAAGATCTCTGGCTTTCTAGAATAGATTTTATGTTGATTTTTTGTTGTTATTTTTTGGTTTGTCTTGGTACCGGGGATCCAACTTGGGACCTTATGCTTACGAGGCAGGCGGCAGCACCACTGAGCTAAATCCCCAGCCCTGTTGAGTGCATGTTAAACACTTTTATATGTTATCATTGGAATTCTGTAGCTAATTAGGTGAGCCCTCTGAGCTCATCAGTTTAGACAGCAGGCCAGCTAGAAGTAGAAACAGATAACCTAACAGAAAAGACAGGTTTCTGTGTCAAGGCAGGATGCTGAAACGCATTTGTCTTTGTTGGTATAGTCAGAAAGTTAGAGATATCCTTTACTCTGTACCTTTATCTCTCCTCCCTTTTAAAAAGTGCTGCTTTTATTTATTTATTTTTGGAGGCAGGTTCTCACCATGTAGTTCAGGCTGGCCTTGAACTCACAGCAATCCTCCTGCCTCAGCCTCCTGAGTGCTGAGATCACAGGTGTGCAACACCAGGCCTGGCTCCTTACCTTCATTTTATTTATTTATTTTTTTGAGACAGTCTCTCACTATGTAGTTGAAGCTGGGCCTTGAACTCACTGGGTAGCCCAGGCTGGCCTGAACTTGCTGTGATCCTTCTGTGTCAGCCTCCCAAGTGCTGAGATAACAGGTGTGCGCCATCATACCAAGCATCAACAGGTTATTAAGTTAAAGTCAGGATTGAAAAGATGATTTTGTTCTTTAGGTGATATGAAGGAGTTACCTAGCTGTGATTACTAGATACAGAAAAACCTGTCCTAGCAGAGGAGTAGTTCTCGGTGAGAATAGTATTTTTTTTGTTTTGGTGCCAGGGATCAAAATCAGGTCCCTGGCCCTGCAAAGCAGGCGCTGGAACCACTGAGCTAACTCCCGGGCCTGAGAATAGTATTTTAAAAGTTAACAATGTGGAGTTGGAGTGAATACCTTGTGGGCCAGGTCTGAGGGGCTGCACGAGTATGGGCCGGTGACCGGTCCTCCTCCCCAGACTGGAGCCGTTCGCAGTGCACACGTTGGAGAGGTGGTTTGTGGCACTCCAGAGACGGTAAAGGTGGGAAGCGGAACTGGGACGGCACGGTGGGTGGGAGGTGTGTAGATGCGGGGAACTGGGGTGTGTAGAACGTTGAAGTCGGAGTGGGCTTGCCTTGAAACTTGGGTTTGTTTTTTAGCCATGTGATCCCAGACATTGCTAATTTTTACAGAATCTTTTTCTTGTTTGTAGATTAAGGGTAGTATCACCTGTTTTGTGCAGTGAAAAGGGAGGAAGAATTTATGTTGGGTTACTGGGTGCCCGGTAGCCGAGTGTTACCATTTCGTACCTTTTTAGAGAAATGTAAAAGCAGAGACTGAATTCATCCCACAGAAATGCATTTAACATCTTTGTCCTTAGATTCCAGGATTTATACAATAGCACATAAGTAGAGACATTTTCTTAGACTCACTTGAGGTACCTGTTAGAATAGCAGCTGACAGATAAAACTGCTGATATTATTAAGTATTTGTTGTGTGGCGAATACTATGCTAAGTGTCCAGAACACAACACAGTCCCCACAGCCACACTGAGCTGGGAACCATAATCATCTGCCTTTCACAGCCTCCTAAATGTCATAGAGTAGGGGAGGGGCGGATTTGAGCCTTACCACTCTTTTCCTGGGTTCTAGACCTTTAACTTGACGTTCTGTCAAGCTTAGAGAGGCAGAATTGTCACACAAGACCATTCAATGTTTTATTGTCGTCATTTATGGTATTTTGAGGCAGGGTCTTCATGTGTAGCACAGGCTGGCCTCAAACGTGGGATTCTCCTGTCTTGGCCTTCTGACTTGTGGGATCACAGGTGTGCGCTGTGACACCCGGCTGCAGAGCGCTCTGATAGTGGTTTTATTTCTCCTCAGGAGAGGACTTGGAAGGTGGCGCTTGTAGTCATCCTCTCGTCCCAGGTAAAGTGTCGCCTCTCTTACCTGCGACTCACGTGACTGTGGCGAAGGGCACGGGTCTGGTGCACACGGCCCCAGCGCATGGCATGGAGGACTACGGGGTGGCGGCTCAGCACAGCCTGCCTGTGGTACGCTCTGCACCGTCCTTCATCCTTCATCTTGCGGGGCGAAGGTGACAGACCCGAGTGAGGTTTCATGTCTGGGTGACGGGAGCGTCCGGTGTCCTGGTGCAGCTGTGCAGTGCGTAGATCACGTTGGCTCAGTGAGCCCAGAAGCGCGGTGGAGGATGGCCCACGTGGCCTTTTGAACACGTCAGCCTCCTTTGTGCTCCGTTTCCTGTGGCCTCTAGGTAGACGTGCACTCCTCACAGATCGAGGGTCTGTGGCCAGTGTGCTGAGTGAGTCTCGGCACCGGTCTTCAGTAGCACAGAAGATCTAGCATTTGCTAGATACGAGGTGTTTTTATTTAGCTTACGGTGCGCGTGTTGTCCTTGTAGACATAAAGCTTTTGCACACTTGATAGCTTGCAGAACTTTTATACGCCTTGGGCAACCGGGACATTTGTGCGACTAGCTTTGCTGCGGTACTTGCTTTGTTGTGTGGACTGGAACCACGCCCACAGCCTCTCTGAGGTCTGCTTTACTTTTTTTCCTTTCATTTGTTTTTTCCTTCCTTCCTTTTGCAGGATTGGGGGTCGAAACCAGGGCCTTCACACTAGACTATCCCTGGCCCTTTAATAATTTTTATTTACTGTGTTTATTTTTCTGAGACAGAGTCTTACTGTGTAGTTCAGTTTGGTCTCGAACTCAGAGTGATCCTCCTGCCTCAGCTTCTCCAGTGCTGGAATTTCAGGCATGCACCACCATGCCCGGGTAGTTTGATTTTAATTTTTTTAAAATTATTTTTTAAAATTTAAAACATTCATTTTTTTAATTTAAAGGTAGTGAGTTTTAAAATTAGGGAGGTTTGCATTAATTAAAGGTAGGAAAGGAAGTACAGAGTTCTTCTTTAAAGAGTACGAGTTGGCCACAGTCTATTTTTATTTTGAGAGAGGCTCTTACTGAGTCACTAAGTTGCCTAGGCTGGGCTTGAACTTGTGATCCTCCTGCCTCAGCCTCCCAGAGCACTGGGATGACAGGTCTGTGCTGCCTTGTCCCGCTGCCTGCTGTCTTTTTTGAAATTCCATAGTGCCCTGGACAACCTGAATGTATAGCAAATGTTTGTTCAAATAGGAATCTTAGATGTTTGAACAGATATCTGTTATTTTTCCCCTATAGAGGTTGGCTTACCTGTACTTTCTTCTAATAGTAAGTTATAAAGACAAGTTATTTTCAATCCCCCAAAAATGTCAGACTTTGCCAAATAGAAAAGCAGAGTTTTGTTTTTACCTAAATAATCTTTTTAAGTTTATTTTACACATTTCAGTTACTTAGCACGTTTTTTCATTAGATTAAAAGTTGAGTTTCACAGTGCATGACTTGTATGTTAACATGATTCTGTAAATAGAGATCAGTTAAAGATTTTAGTGTGGTTTGTTGCTTTTTGTTACTAAACCTTAGGCATATACTTTACAAATAAGTTTTGCCTTTGATTATTTAAATATGTACAACTCACAGATTTCTATTGACTAAGAAGTACTTTTTGTTTTAGTGTAGAGAAAACTAGGCTTTGATGAGATGTTTTATATGTATATTGTTTGGCCAGAGGTTGTTATAAAAGTGTTCCTTCATTTTGTTCAAAATGACACTTGGTAGGATTGTTCTGTGGACGAAGGTGGGCTGTTCACAGCTGCTGCAGGCCCTGAACTCGAGAGCAAGGCTGTCCTGGAAGAGGGGACCGACGAGGGTGAGTCTTCTGTCTGAGAAGCAGCCGCGGGGCCCTTTGTGCAGGACGGGGACTCGGGGTCTTGGGGCTTCTCGGTGAGTGACCAGATTGTCCAGGCTGGGCTCAAACTTGTGATCCTTCTGCCTCAGCCTCCCAGAGTGTGGGGATACAGGCGTGCACCACTGTACCCAGCTTCTTCTCCCTTTTATTCTCAGTACAAATGAAAGCTAAAATTGTTTTGTTTGGCCACATGGCTTAAAATGGAGTTTGGGAGGTTTTTCATTGTTTGGTTCAAAGCTGCTCCTTATGTTTCAGCGCATCAGGACGGTCAGTGGGCAGTGTTTTAACCAAGGATAAACTCTAGTTTGGGCCTAGCTTCAGCCTCCTCTCCCACTCTCTGTGTACCTGGCACAGATCTGGCTCTTGCAGGCGGGTCAGGGTTAGTGCCTTGATCTCCTCCAGGTGTGATCGTCTGTCTGGCTTTTTTCATGGGTTTGGGAACCAGGTGTCCTAGAGACTGCTCTTTGCCCTGCCCCCTAGGACTGAGGCTGGTGTGACCAGGTGTTCCTTTTCCAGGGCGACCGTGACAAAGTCCTAGGAGCCTGATGACTCAAGACAGCAGAGCTTTCCTCAGTGGGCTTCTGGAGGCCCAGGGTCCCCTCCTGAGTCCCAGGGAGGACCCTGCCCGGCCCTTCTGGCCTTGGGCCTTCTGGCTGTCCTTTTGCTACTTGGTTCACAGCACCCTGACTTGAACCCAGTTTCCCCGTCACCCTGTGGCCATGTCTGTCCCTTCCTGTCACCAGGACTCCGGACACTGGGTTCAGGACACTGGGACCCAGTGTGACCTCGTCTGCATTGCCTCTGCAGAGACCGGCTGCTAGGGAGGTCATCTCAGGGACAGAGGTCAGGGTGCTTGGAGGACACAGCTGACCCCTCCACGCCTGCTTGATTCCCAGTTACTGAGACGGCTTGAAGGACTGTAGCTCTGAATTCCAGATCTGGCGTTCTCTGATGGCCGTCTTACCTCTGCAGCGTGGGGCTCTGACTAAGGATGTACAGTCCCTGCATTTCTTTGCCTGGAGCTCCACATTCTACCCCTAACCTGGGATGTGGCTCCTCGTATTGGCCCCTGTTGGCCCAGGGGTAGAGCATTAGAATTTTTATGTGGTTTTTTTTGTACAGAGAGTGAACCCAGGGCCTTGTGCTTGCCAGGCAGGTCCTGTGCTGCTGAGCGCAGCCCAGTAGGATTTTCTTAGTGCCTTGTTTGTGGAGGCAAGGCCTTGCTAAGTGGCTCTTCCAATCCTCCTGCCTCAGCCTACTGTATAGCTGGCATCACAGATGTGCACCATGGAACTTTCAGTGCTGCTTTTCGTGTTTAACGTAAAACATTTTTTGGCAGTCATAAAGATGCTTCAGAGCGTGAAGAGCCTTTTGAAAGAGGAGACACTGATCCACAGCTATCCCTATGACTGGAGGGCCAAGAAACCAGTCATTGTTCGTGCCAGCAAGCAGTGGTTTGTGAAGATCTCGGACATCAAGCCTGCAGCTCAGGTGTGAGAGGTGCCTGGGGGAGTGCGGAGTTCAGGGCCCTTGCCCGGTGAGGTGGAGGCTTTGTTGCTGTTAGGATTTCTTTCCTGAATCCTCAGTGCTTCCCATCTGAGAGGCTCTGGGCTCCATTCTTTCATTGCCTGTGTTGGGGGTGCGGCCTCATCACCCCCAGGCGCCCTTCTGCTGGGAGAGTAGCAGCATGAGGGCAGAACCCAGGCCTCGGGGCTGGGTGGTGTGGTGTCCCTGTGTGTGGAAATCGGAGAAGCACTTCCTGCGCTCTGCAGACTAACACAGAATCCCTTCAGAAGGGTCGCTCTGACTTGGCACGTGCTTTAGAGCTGTGAATTACAGGTGATGTGTGTCCAGGCATGCGCGTGCGTGCGTGTGCTCTCCTCCCTGCCTGCCCGTCTTGTGAAGATGGGCCTGGGACTGTGAGCTCCAGTGATCCTACTCCGTCAGCCTCCTGAGTGCCAGGCAGCTGGAGCTGTAGGCACCAGCCATGTGCCTGCCTTCGGGAAGAATGGCTGTTCTAGAGCCTTCGCAGTGCTTTCTCTCACTGGCTTGATTTTGCGTCCACTGCAGGAGGCGCTGAAGGCTGTGAAGTTTATTCCCGGAGCGGCGCTGAATGCCATGACCGATGTGCTGGAGCGGCGGCCGTACTGGTGCATCTCGCGGCAGCGTGCGTGGGGCGTGCCCATCCCCGTGTTCCATCACAGGGCCAGAGATGAGTGCTTGATCAACAGGTGAGTGCTTCTCACTTTGAACTGCTTGTGCCGGGCTGTGTTCTTTAAAAATGAAAGAGGGGAGTTCATTTATGTGTTTTTATTCAAAATATTCTGAAATATCAATATTTTTTAAGAGTTAAAATGTAAACTTTCTAGCCAGGTATGGTGGTGCACACCTGTATTCCAGCACTCGGGAGGCTGAGGCAGGAGGATCGCTGTGAGTTCAAGACCAGCCTGGGCTACATAGTGAGTTCCAGGTCAGTCTCAACTACATGGTGAGATCCTGTCTCAAAAAAAAAAAAAAGTATGTGTATATATATATATATATCTATCGATAGATAGATAGACAGACAGACAGACCAATAGCAGATATAGATATATAGATATATCTATATCTGTCCATATATATAAAATTTCTGAATTTTTATATGGCTAAAATACTAACAAAAAGTAGGTTTTTCTAAACTGATGAATAGGAGCAACGCTCTGAGTTTTTCTAGGAAAATGTACTGCGCCAGCTGACAGGGCAGGGGACCCTGGGGTGAGCAGTGTGCAGTGGCAAAGCCAGACGCAGCTTTTCCTTAGGAATCAGGATCACTGCCTTATTCTGCATCTGCTCCTTTTCCTCCACAGGAAATGTCTGTTTATATTTGAATGTCTGAGAAACTGTAAGGTAGTCAGGTGCATGAGTGCATTGGTTATTGCATTCTCGGTTACTTCTAGTTTTATCCTTGGTTTTTAGCCTGGAGGAATGACAGATGGAGGTAGTAAGCATCAGTGGCGTGGGAAAGCTTCTGCAGCGAGGGGTGGGCTTTTTCTTGTCTCAGATGAAACAGCCACTTTGATGCATCGTTTACCAGTCTTCTGAATCTTCCAGAAACAGTGAAGACTGGTCTGCTGTACATACATTTATACAAAGACATCATCTACATGTGCTGTTTTTGACCTTTTCACTTTTATGTGCTTTTTTCTGAGACAGGGTCTTGCTTTGTAGAGCAGGCTGGTCTTCAACCCATGATCCTCCTGCCTCAGCCTCCTGAGTAATGGGGTTACAGAAGCCCAGCTTTTCATTTGTATCTTACAGTTTTTTCTAGATCAGTACTTAAAGATCTGCCTCACTCCTATGTTTTTTAAAGGCTTTCTTGAAGCATACTTTTATGCTGATCCATTCCTTGTAAGTAACTTAGATTTACATTTTGTACACACCATCACAGTGGTGCTTTAGAACAGTTTCTTTTTGTCAAACAGTTTGCTTGTGGGTTTTTTGTTTTTGAGGCAGGGTCTCACCTCATAGTCGAGGCTGACCTTAAATTTACTGTGTAGCTCAGGCCAGCCTCTGACATGCAGAGATCCTCCTGCCTCAGCCTCCACAGTGCTGGTATTACGGACATGTGCCACCATGCCCAGCTTCTTGTGCACTTTTTGAAAGAATATCAGCTTTGTAGGATGAATTTGAACCCAGGCTTTGCCACTTACTGTATGTGAGGTTGAGGAATGTATTTGTTTACCTTCTGTCTTCTATCAAATGGGAGCGCTGTAGATGCAGGCGGATGGTGATGAATCCTGAGTGACATGTAATAGCCGTGGCCTGAGGTGCAGTGCTCTGTCGTGGCTGTGCTGCTCAGCTGTTCCCAGAGCCCTTTTTAAATCCTCCACGTGGAGGCGTAGCCCCTGCCGAGAGCTGCAGGAAATAAGCCTGGTGTGGTCCTGCTCTCACTGGGAGCCATGCAGGCTGGTTGTCATACTAGGGAGGCTTCCAGTGACTCTAGGTGTTGCTGGTTTGTTTATTTTCTTTCTCTGATGGTAAGAGTCACACTTGGGGCCTTCCACAAGCTGAGTACACATGCTAGTAAGCTACACTTTCTCGCTAAGTTGTCCAGGCTGTCCTCAAACTCCCCATCTTCTTGCCTCAGCCTCCCAAGTAGCTGGGTTTGCAGGCGTGCGCACCAAGCTCATTTTTGTTTTAACGGGGTGCTGGGACTAGACTCCGTGCCTCACGCATGCTGATCGCGCACTCTGCTCCGCTCCTGCGCCCCTGGCCCTGCACTGTCTCTTCTCCATTGTTTTGTGTGGCTTGGCTGGGCAGTTCCGGTACCCTTGGTGTGAGGTCCCCGCCGGGTTTGTGGGTGGACTGCTGGCCGTGCTCGGGACGGTGGAGGCCCTGTGGGCTCCTTGACAGCAGGTGGGCCAGCGGGGTGGATGGTGGTGGGAGCGGAGGATGGGCGGTGCTGGGACCTCAGGAGGGTGGCAGAGCGGTGCCGAGGAATGGGGCTAGGAGGCCAGGGAGCCTCGGAGACGGAAGTGAGGTTCGAACTTCAGCAGCCACAGGGGTGGGAGCACTTTACAAGAGGACGCAGAGGCCAGGAGCCAGGAGGTCCTCGGAGGCTGCTTCCGCATCGTCACAGTTCAGAGCTGAGGACTCTTGGTGTACGTGTTTTATTAACATGGGTCAGATGTGAACTGCTAATGTCTGTGCGTTTCTGTTAGGATTGAAATGATCACAGTTGAGGTAAATTTACTCAAGCACTCAAATGCTCTGGACAGTTTTTCATATTTGAGTTTTTATTAGTGCATGTTTGCAGACTATGATGACTCCCTTCATCGTGCGGATTTGGCATGTGTACCTATTTCCCCTTCTTTTCAGTAGAGACCAGGGGTTTGGGGTGTTTTCTGGGAGTGACTGGGGTTCCCCTCCTGTGCAGTGTTACTGTGCACAGCAGCCTGGATTTGCTGGGACGAAGGCAGAGCTTTCGCTTGTTATGCCGGGGCAGCCCCAGCCCAGCAAACTGGCTTAACATGTGCCGTTATTTACGGTAAAACGCACATGGCCGCTGCCATAGGTGCGGAACGGTGAGCTCTGCTGGGAGAGCTCCCTAGCCTCGCGTGTGTATTCAGCGAGTGTGCTTCCGTGGTTCTCTGAGTGCCTCTGGTGGCCTGCGAGGCATCAGTGGATTCCAGCCTTGAAGTCACAGCGACATACAGGAGCTTGGCCTACAGAAGTGACAGGCAGACTCGGCTACACCGCCTGTCAACTCGTAGGTCATGTTCCTGTACCCCGTTCCGGGAGGGTGTTGCCGAGTCTCGTCTGTGGGCGGCTGATGCCCTGACTAACACTTTAATTCATCTTGTTCTCGGCAGTGTTGAGAGACAGGGCGAGGGCTGATTTCCCTAATCTAAGGAGAGCCAGTGATCCCCATGTCCTGTCGTCATCAGCCCTGGTGTCACAGCGAGCTTGCTGCGCACCAGAGGTAACAGTGTCTCCACTGGACGCTGTGTGTGGTCCACGTGGAGTTGCTGTTACACGTGGTGACGCCTCACAGCGCTTCTCAGGAAGCCTGCTTGTAAATGTGCGTGCGCGCGTGTGCGTTGCGTGGTCCCAAGCGTCAGACCTAGGGTGGGCCTGCCCGCGTGCTGGGCCGGAGCTGCACCCGGAGAGACACCTTCCTCCTGCCTTTCTCAGGAAGTCTGTGCATCGGCTCTAGGGACACTTGTTTCCCAGAAGAAAATCTCGTTCATGTTCTAAGAAAATGTAGGGACTGGAAAATTTAAAACTCTGAAAAAAAAAAAAAAACCCTGATGTTTAATTCTGATTTGAATTAAATTTCATTTGCATTTATATTCATTTGTATTTTCCCAATAAAAAATTTTATTTCTGATTTAATATCAGGCATTTTCTGAGTTTGTAACATAATGACATAATTTAGGTTAAAGTTTATTCCTAGTTAAATGAAACAAAATAAATAGTTTATATAGTATAAAGTAGAAAAACTAGAAATATTGCCTACCTAGGAAGGAAAATAAGTTGCTGATTAAATTTCCAGTCTTGTTTAAGATGAGTATAATTAGATTATAATTGCAGAAGGGCAATAGTTAACATTTACATTAGGAAATTTATACCTTGACCTCTGGAAATTATGAGAACTTTAGTATCATCGGGAAGAAATTTCCAGTTTAACTTGAGCACTAATTTTAGCTACTTTATTTATTGTTTTTTTGAGACAAGGGTCTCACTGTGTAGTTGAGACTGACCTGGGACTCACTGTGTAGCCCAGGCTGGTCTCGAACTCACAGCAAAACTCCTGCCTCAGCCTCTGGAGTGCTGGGATTACAGACATACGCCACCATGCCCGGCTTAACTTTAGCTACTTTAAATTTTTGCTTGTTAATAACAGTTGTGGAGAAATTAATTCAATAAAAGTTTATGTTCATTAAATAAAAATTTTTCCAAAATTGTTCCTGTCACCTGCAAAACATAAATGTAGGGTTAAATTAAAAATAGGGTTCTCCCTTCCAAATTTCATTTGTGCTCTTGAATTTAGTAATAAACAATAGTTAACAATTATTTTCTTTTGGGGGGGCGGTTTTTGAGACAGGGCGTCTCTATGTAGTTGAGACTGACCTGGAACTCACTGTGTAGCCCAGTCTGGTCTGGAACTCACAGTGATCCTCCTGCCTCAGCCTCCCGAGTGCTGGGATTAAAGGCATGCGCCACCACGCCCAGCCAACATTTATTTTCTTACCCCATCCTGACTTCAGTAGCTTGCACCAGAAGGTTGTCTTATATCCGTAATAGTTTTGCTTGTAAGACAGAACGAGACACCGTGGCATGACCGCAGCCGCTTCCTCTCCAGCTGGTGCTCTGAGCCTGTGGAATTTGTGACAGTGCCCTAAATAAACCCTGGGCGCAGTTGGTCCCCAGCTCCTGGGGATTGGCGGTGTCCCTGCCGCTGACACCGCCTCTTGGACCCTGAGTGACAGGCACAGAATGTGTGCCCTTGAGGAAGCCCTCGGAGGGAAGGGCAGATTTTATGATGAGTTTATTGCTTTATGACGTGCAGCGTTAGAAAGGAGGCGGGCTGGTCAGTAGTGATAAGTGGTTGCACCACCTTTATCACCAGTGATTTGTACCCACCTTTAGGTTATGACTGTGCTTGTTACAGATAAAGATGTTATTAACAGAATACAAGGGAGGATCCTGAAATTTCCAAAGGCAAATTCAAATATAGACTTTTTCCTCT